TTTTCCCCAGTAGAGAAAAAGCAAAAAGCAGGGTGGGAAAGGCTACGATGCGGGGGGATAAGCAGCCCAAATTCTCTCTTGGACAACTTTCCTGCCCAAAGCCAGGACCCGAGACAGGCCCCGAGCCAGACAGCGCGTGTCCCAGCTCCCGGGAGCTCGCTTCACTCGACCTGCATCAGACCAAAGGCTGCCCGCAGGCGCTCCAGGCAACTCGCTGGTGATGGTCTTTCGTAGCCTGGAGGGAACTGGGCTGGATCCTTCTGCCAGACCCGGCACCATCGGCTCCCAATAGAAACTGGTGCCTAAATCCCACCTCTGTTTCCAAGAGGCTGCAAAGATCCACTCACCCCCCCGTGCTAAAGCAGCGGGTCTCAACCTTTTGGGCTCCAGGCAGCCCTCCTTAGACTCATGACCCCCCCTTAGAGAATACCAGTTCTTTGTTTTCACTCGTTTTTTTGACTCCAGAAAACAAACGGAGAAAGTCTTGTGTTGCAAAGAGCTCAGAAAGGCCACAGCGAGTAGGAATGCTTTTAACCCCAAGGACTCCCACGTGAACCCTCTGGGTTTATTTGCGAGTCGTGTCTGCACACCCAGTGGGGCCAACCCCGCGTGGCACCCGTGTAAGGATCTCAGGGTTATGAATCCCTGCGCCAGAGCCTGCCTGGGGGGACGCGGAAACCATTTATAACAGCTCTGGGGACAGAGGCATGCACGGCCTCTGCTCCCTGCCTTGTGCCGCCAGGGCAGCCAAATCAACTCCAGCCCTTCCAGGGCTAAGAGGACTCCAAAGAGCCTCTTGCCCAGTACTTGCCCAGCCCCCAGACCAGCCTGTCCAGGGCACCCCAGGCTCCATCTCCCTACTCCCTGCAGAAAAGCCAAAAGAAATAAATTAAACTTTTTTTTTTTATCCCCCCAAGGAAAAGTAAGTTAAACATAAAGAAAGCCCAGCTCTACCCCTGTCCCCTCCAGGATCCCCATAGGCTTAGCAATGCCAGGGGGAGGCTCCTTCCAACCTAGACCATACATCCCTATCCCAACCTATAACATCTACACCAAGGCTTGCTGCATCCCTGCTTATATGCTGCTCTCCTGCTCCCAGCATGCTCTGCTGCCACAGCCAGCCAATCCCATTTGTCCCAGCATGCCTTGGGGCTGTGTTTATAAATGTGAGTCCACAGTGCTGGGCTTCCAGACTCTTGCAAAGGGGTAGAGTGTGTGGCTGGTGCCAGGTGTGGTGCATTTGTATAAGGCTGCCTTACCCTAGTGCAGCGGGGAGAGGTCAGGATGCAAGGGCTCAGCCCCGCTGGTGTCTGTGCCTGGGCATGCCCTATGCAAAGGCTTGTGCAGGGTTGGGGTCCATGCAGCCCGGCAGGTCCTCCACAGGCTCATACCCCTCTTTGATTTATTGGCAGGGTGAAGCCACGGGCCAATCTCCTGGCAGACAGCGATGCAGAGTCCTCCAGCGCCGGCTCCTCGGACGAGGAGGATGTCCCCGCAGCAGAGACCTCCGGCGCTCTGGGAGAAAGGATCGTGCCCCCCACCACTGAAGGGTAAAGCAGGGGAGAGGGACCTTGCCTTGGGGTGGGGTGTCTGCCAGGGGCCATCGGCATCACAACAGCTGGGAGGGGTGGGGGGTGGATGCACTACTGAGTCCAAAGGTGAGCTGCAGCCTTTCTCAGGAAGATGCTAAAGAAATCTAGCAATGGGAGTGGATGTGGGCCGGGATGTGCACGCACTTGAGTGCATCTCACCCCTCCTACCCTCCCTATCCGGGTGGCCCTAAGCAGCTGTCGCCTGTCCCTGCCGGCTACTGGTGGTATGTCGGACCCCCCTGGGAAGGGCTAAGGAAGGGGCTCTCCAAGCATGGGTGCAGGGAAGGCCACACGTGGTGGGGTCTCTGCTTGGCCCCCTGCCTTAGCACGGCTCCATCCTGCAGGCTGACAGCCCACCCTTCCCCGCCGCTGGGCCACGTCGGGGGCAACAGCACCAGTCGCAAGATCCTGCGCTTCGTGGACAAGATCGCCAAGTCCAAGTACTTCCAGAAAGCCACCGAGAACGAGTTTATCAAAAAGAAGATCGAGGAGGTGTCCAACACGCCACTGCTGCTGACGGTGGAGGTCCAGGAGCTGTCGGGGACCCTGGCTGTGAACATCCCTCCACCCCCAACGGACCGAATCTGGTAGGAGAGCCCGGGTCCCCACCTGCACCGTGCACCCCGGCTTTTCCAGCCCAGTGTTTAGCAGGGCATGGACAAGGGGCAGGGGCCTGAGATGCTGGGGACCCCAGATGGGCACAAACCCTTCTCCCAGTTCAGAGAAGAGATGCATCAGGGATAAGGGAAAATGCCTAGCCCTTCTCCAGTGTAGGCTCTGTGTTCAAATATCCAGCTGGCTAATAGCTGGGGACCGAGTGCTCTTACTACCTGGTGGTGGCTGGGAGGCCCCCGCTCCCAGTGCACAAGTGGCTACACCTTCCATCAGCGGAGAGGTCACAACTTACTCCTTAATATCCTGACGATACCGAGGAATTCTAGCAATAAAAGCTTCACGGGAGTGGATGTGGGCATGTGCGTGCACTCGAGTGCATCTCACCCCTCCCACCATCTCCTGGACGCAGCCTGGCTTGTAACGGCGTCTCGTCCCTCCAGGTACAGCTTCCGGCTCCCGCCCCAGCTGGAGATGAGAGTCCGCCCCAAGCTGGGGGAGCGGGAAGTCACCTTCATCCATGTCACGGAGTGGATCGAGAAGAAGCTGCAGCGCGAATTCCAGGTATGCTGGGGTGGGGACAGCTGGGCTCTGGTCCACCTGGAAGGGGCTGGGAGTCCAGGGGTTTGGCTGGAGCGGTGAGGAGGGGGCAACACCTGCAGAGCCTCTCTGGAGCCCCAAATGAGCCCCAAATGGGCACGATTGGGCCACTTGGGAAGCCAAGAAACCTGGAGTAGTCTCAGGTGCCAGGTCCCTGTGGCGTAGCAGGGCCTTTCAGAGGCCATCTGACGCGCTTCGTTGGTTTGAGCAGCGATTCTTAGGTCTATCTCACTTTCCCCACCCCCAGAAAATCTTGGTGATGCCAAACATGGATGACCTCATTGTGCCCATCATGCGTGCCGGGATGGACCCCCGGCCGCCCGCCGCGGGGCCCTGAAAGGCCGGGCTTGCGCACAACAAGACGACGGACTCCGAAGGTTGATTTGGGGCCCGGATGCTGTAGAGGACTGTGGGGCGTTCGCTGATGGGCCCTGCTGAGCTGGGCTGGGAACTGCCTGCCTGCCGGAGCCGGGTGCCAGCCTGGATCTTCGTGGTTCATCTCTTCATCTCGTTTCCAGCATGCCTCACCCCGGCTACGGGACCTCTCCTTTTAACTATCTGCAGTGCAGCAAGGGCAGAAGCCTTCTCGCCCGGTGAGGGAGCAGAGGGGAGAGGAAGTCTCCTCCTCTCCTCCTGGGTCCCTGTGGATTCCTACACCAACCTCAGGCCAGGTGGGAAAGGGCCGTGGCTGCGGGATGGGCTCAGCACGGTCCTGAAACGGGAGCTCCAAGCTACCAGGACCCGAGTTGGCACCGGCCTTGGCACGGAGCACCCGAGTCTGTCGGGAACGTTGCAGGCAGGAAAGAAATGGAGACAAAACCCCTCCCTTCCCTCCTCCCGATACCCAGTAGCTGTGACTGGTCCCTGCCCCCCTGCACAGTGGGGCTGAATATCATGTCCTGCTGCAAGAGAGCATGTGGGTGTAAAAGGCTGCCTGTGCATCTGTCTGGGGTACACGGCCCCTGTCCAGGAACATGCCAATGGTCCCCCTGCCCTGGGGCAGAGCCCTAGGAAGCTGCCCTGCCAGTCTCCTTCTGGTGGGTCCTTTTGCTCCAGATGTTTTCCTGGGGTCATGCACGCAAACCTCCGGCCGTCTGGCACATGTCAGGGCTGGGCAGAGGCAGGAGCATCCGAATGTGAGCCTGGGGGCAGCGAGGAGTGGGATGGTTGCCTCTCCTGTGCAATAATGGCATTAGCTTCTGGCCAGGGAAGTCCCCAAGCTGCGTGCAATCCAAGGGCTTTGCAAACCTCATGGGCGTGCTGGGGCTGAGCAGGGTGGGCTGGCACGGCCAAATAAAGGTTTGCATCAATCCACTGGCCTGGACGTGGTCCTTGCTCTTTCCCAGCTCTCTTCTTCCCACTTCCGGCCTGTGCTGCAGTTACAGGAGCATGGGGCTGGGAGGGGGGTCTCCTGAGCCCGTAAGTCCAGTCCCTGCATTCACAGGCCAGCAGTACCCCCCAGATTCCTCCTTCACCCCTCCTTTGCACAACTGCAAAACACAGAACAGCAAGAGCCCATACGACAGGCTCCAGGTAAGAGCAGGGAGACCTCATTTGTCTTGCTGTGCTGGTGGCCTAGCACCCAGGGCTCAGGCAGCATCCTGTACTGGGGCTGGACCCCATGTATTCATACCCTAGCATTGTCCTCCTTGCTCTGCCCCACCAGTTCCTGGGAGCCTCTTCTCCCCTGAGACCAGCACTACCCTGTCCCTTTGCTTCAAGGCTCTGGATACAGGCTGAGCGAGTGCATCTGCAGCAGGGAGAGACGCTGCCCAACCTTTCCCAGCTGCTCAGGGAGCCATGCAACTGCTCTCCAAGAACAGCAGGTTTCTCAGCAAAGCAATTGTTTGCTGGACCCAAGCCTCGTGGGAGGCCTCTGTGCCAGCACCTGCCTTTGTTCCCCTTTGCTGGATCCAACAGGGATTCTGCTGGGAAGGATGCATGGTCTGGAGAGAGCAGGCTGGGAAAGGCTGAGCAAAGCAGCCCCCCTGCTGTAGGCTGCCTCTGGCACGATGCAAACGGCATCTAAATCTAGTCACAGGCATCTCCAGGGACCCCGCTCTCAATGGGCTTATCCCCCTGCTGCCCCCAGAGCAGCAATGCCCACATCAGCACCTGGCGAGATGGCTCCAGGACTCGCTGATGCCCCTCTGAACCACTGCCTCCATGGCCCAGGGAGGAAAGCAGGACGGCGGAGGCTTTGCAGTCCCTTTATTGGAAGGGTCTTTGCACAACGAGGGTGGACATGGGTTAACGTTCCTTACAGCTCTTCCTGGGCTTCCTGCTTCCCCTTCACCAAGTGTTTCTTCTGGGGGCCCTAAAACAAGTGGAAACAGAGGAAATAAGAGAGAATCATAGAAAATTTGGGTTGGAAGGGAGCTCAGGAGGTCCCATCTAGTCCAACCCCCTGCTCCAAGCAGGACCAGCCCCAACTGCATCATTCTAGCCATGGCTTTGTTGAACCGGGTCTTCAAAACCTCCAAGGATGGAGACTCCCTCACCTCTCTGGGTAACCTATTCCAGTGCCTCACCGCCCTCCTAGTGAGAGCTTTTCCTAATATCCAACCTCAACTTCCCTTGCTGCAGCTTGAGCCCATTACTCCTTGTCCCACTGAGAACAACCCAGCTCCATCCTCTTTGCAGCCCCCCTGCAGGGAGCTGAAGGCTGCTATTCAATCCCCCTCGGTCTTCTCTTCTGCAGACTAAACCAGCCCAGTTTCCTCAGCCTCGCCTTAGAAATCATGTTCTCCACCCCTGAAATCATTTTCGTTGCCCTCCACTGGACTCTCTCCAACTTGTCCACATCCTTTCTGTAGCGGGGGCCCACAGCTGGACACCGGACTCCAGATGTGGCCTCCCCAGTGCTGAACAGAGGGGAAGAATCACTGCCCTCGATCTGCGGGCAGCGCCCCTACCAACACAGCCCAGGATGCCGTTAGCCTTCTTGGCAGCAAGGGCACATTGCTGGCTCATATCCAGATTATTGTCCACTGTCACCCCCAGGTCCTTTTGTGCAGAGCTGCTGCCCAGCCAGTCAGCCCCAGCCCATACCCATGCAGATCTCATAACCAATCAGCGGCTGGCTGCAGATGTGCCCCTGGGAGGTGGCACAGGAGCCAGATGTGCTGAGCAGTCTGTGCCCATTTGACTCCATCCCAGAGCACCAGGTTTGCAACGCCAGCTGTTGGGCTGTAGCCTCCCAGCTCTCCTGGTCACCGCAGTGTCACAACTATCCCAAGGCCTCCCCAGCCTGCCCCAGAACCAGCTGTTTGCTTGGCAGGAAGCCTGCCAGGGCTAGAAACCTTTGCTGCTGGGGCAGGCAAGCTGGGGGAAGATGGAGCAGTGCAGACATCATGCTCATCTGCTTGCCCAAAGCATTAACCCCGCCACCCCGCAGTACACGGACGGGGTTTTGTGGCTGGTCCTCCTGCCCTGCAGCTAAATTAGTGTGCTCGTGTGAGCTTAACCAATGGTGAGCTGGACTGCTGTCTGGGGGACAAGTGGTGCTGTGCCAGTGCACACCTGCTGACGAGCTGCCCACTGAATAACTCATCAGCTTCCCCTTCAGCTCACCGCACTAGCACAGGGTGATGGGGACACCGCAATCCTAGCAGAGAAATGTCTCAGCACGCTGGGTTAAAACTTGTTCTCTGTTTTACGTTTAAACGACCTGGCTTGATGACCTTACATTTAAATGACCTGACTTGGGGTTTTGCAAAATCCCCAGGCTCATGGCCCGATGTTGATGCTTTGAAAAAACACAGGAGCGATGAGTGCAGTGCATTCAAGCCCATCAAACAACTGCACTGCCAGGGTGAGAGGAGCCATACGTCCAGCGAGATGCTGCCAACATAACTGCTGGCTGAATGCATCCCACTGCGTGTGCAAACGGGTTCACCATATGGTACGACATTTCCCAGCTCTGGCTGGCACAGGTACTTGCCCAGCTGCCATGTTCCCCCTTTGCAGACTTCCTGATGGCAAGGCTGACACATCTGTCTCTGAAGCAAGACAGTGCTGGATGCTACCTTTATTATTGGGACCACGTGCTCAGCTGAGAGTCGGGGCCAGGACTGTACAGACAGCACAGGACACCACTCACCATGAACACTCTCTTCTCCTGCGCCGTCTGGAAGCAGCCGTGGCCGAACTTGGAAGTGGTATCGATGAACTTCAGCTCAACGGCTTCCAGCTCCCGGCGTTTTGTGTGAACCAGAAGGGACTGGAGGAGGGGGAGACGACACGCATCAGGCTCATGTTTAACCAGGCACGAGAATACAAGATTTGTCTGGGGCAGAGCTAAGGCTTCTCAGGCATGTCCACCAGCCAGTGACACTTAGCTGGTCGGTGGCTTCTGCAGGGAAGAGACCCAGGACAGTGGGAGTCCACGTGCCACCACATCTCAGTTCCTTGGAACGGAAATGACAACCCAGCTCATGGGGCAATTTGCCTCCTTCGAATCTGGCTGCCACCAGGGTTACCCTAACCCTAACCCCTCCCAGACCTGCAGATGTTGACCTTGAAAGGCAGCTCCATTCCCAGCAGGGGATTGTGCCAGATAGACTCGCTCCAATTAAAGCAAAGCAGCTCCCGGGCAGATGAGACCCCGAGAAAGCCAGGCCGAGGAGAATGGCCTGATCATGAAGACCAGCCTCTCTGGGAAACATCCCCCAAGCCACATCCTTATGGGACTCCCAAAGCCAGCTGCTCCCCGAGGTGTGGACTCATCTCCAGTGGCAGCCTCACCTTCCTGAGAGTCAGCACCCGCTTCTTGGTGCCCACCACGCAGCCCTTCAGCATGACGAAGTCATTGTTCACTTCGCCGTAGCGAGGGAATCCTCCCTGCGGACGTGAGCAGAGGGACGGTTCACAACACCCCCAGGCAGTGACTCCTTCTGTGGCATGTCTGCTGGTCACCGGGAATAGTAACCCATAGTGGCCTCATGTCCATCTTATTGTCCACTGTCCCCACCAGGTCCTTTTCTGCAGAGCTGCTGCCCAGCCCGTCCCAGTGCAGGGGATTGCTCTGTCCTAAATGCAGGACTTTGCACTTGTCCTCGTTGAACCTCATGAGATTTCTTTTGACCCAGTCCTCCAATTTGTCGAGGTCTCTCTGAATCCTAGCCCTACCCTCCAGTGTATCTACTACTCCCCCCAGCTTGGTTTCATCCGCAAACTTGCTGCATCCCATCTTCCAGATCATTAATGAAGATATTGAACAAAACCAGCCCCAGGACCGACCCCTGGGGCACTGCACTTGATACCGGCTGTCAAATAGATATTGAATCATTGATTACTACTCATTAAGCCTGACAACCCAGCCAGTTTTCTATCCACCTTACAGTCCATTCATCCAACCCGTACTTCCTCAGCTTGCTTGCAAGAACGCTGTGGGAGACTGTGTCAAAAGCCTTGCTGAAGTCAATTATATATAATGATAAGGAAGGGGGTTGGAGTTGGGGGCAAGGACCCATGAGTGGAAAAGGAAAATGATCTGGAAAAAGCCCTTCCCAAGGAGCAATTAAGAGACCGGCCCAAGGCAATGCATTGCAGCGGGGGCAGAACCGCGGCCCCCCAGCACCAGCCCAGCACTGCCTGCGTCTCCAGCCCCATTACCAGCGGCGTGATGGTCTTCTCAGTCACGTCATAGTTGGTCGCGGCGTTGTTTTTCACCACCTTGCCGTCCTCTACGTGGACCCCGCGGCCGAGGCGGTAAATCTAGTGGGGAGCCCAAGGGGAAGAGAGTTAATGCTTTAATGTCTTCTCAGCAGGCATGCCACAAATTAGCCCTGCACCCTGCCCAAGTGCTACTGTAATCCCCTTCCGCTGCCCGATCTGCTGCTCCGCTTTCTGCTCCCTTCCCTATGCTCCCTGACCAAGCTGCTGCTCTGCTTTCTGCCCTATCTGCCGCTGTGTGTCCTGTCCCATCCCCAGCCTGCTTCATGTCATGCACAGAAGCTGCCCAGACCCCAGGTCAGCCCCCCTGATTTAAACCACAGTCACGAGCCACGTGTTGCCAAGTGACGGCACGCCAAGCACCGACGGGAGGCTGAGCTGCCCAAAGCAGAGCCGATCCCCCCCCAGACAGGCTCTGGACAGACTGCCCAGTCCCACCATGGCCTAAGTCATGGGGGATATGGGCATATGCACCACAGGGCCTGAGGAAGCCCCTGAAATCACATGTGCTACTGAGAGAGGGGCAGAGGGAGGCCAAGCGAGGGGAACGGGCTCTCCGGGCACTGTACCTTCTTGTTGAGCTCCGTGCGATGGTGATAGCCCTTCTGGCCAGCTCGGGCGATGGAGTAGCCAACCCGGGCTGGGTGCCAGGCTCCAATGCAGGCAACCTTGCGTAAGCCTTTGTGGGTTTTCCTCGGGAGCTTCTTGGCGTGCCACCGGCTTGTCACCCCTGGGAGAGACAGGACGAGGGGGACCATCAGGGGCTGAGAACCCAGAGACCAAAGCCCTGCTTGCACTCCACCAGTCTCATCAGGCTGTGACATCTTCCACCTGCCCTTGTACACCTGTGTAGGCATGCACACACGCATGCATATGTGCATACAAACAGACATGTGTGCATGCATGCACACGCACATGCACACACACACAGGCTTTGCTAGCAAGGCAGGGGCTTTTCTGGTCCTTGTCTCATTGCTTGTGGCTTCACCCAGGACCCAGCCTCTTGCATGAGGCACACAGAAGAGCCCCAGCCCCGCAGCACCCAGGAGCCAGCAGGGCAGAAATTTGGCAGCTGCTCGCAAGCCGTGCTGGCGTCCTTGGGCTTGGACTGTGGCTGGGCTGCAGCATGTGGGAGACGCTTGCTCCGGGGGCCAGACCCCAGGCTGTTCTGCCATTCTCTGGGCCAGCAGAAGCCACAGACCTATAGCCATCGCCAGCTGACAACAGCAAACCATCAGGGAGGGAGCCAGGCACTGAGGCTAATTAGCAAGCACACACAGAGCTTTTGCCCTCTCCTGTTGCTAACGACCCCTCACGGTTCATCGGCAGAGGAGCAGAAGCTGTGCCCCAGTCATGAGAGACGGTGGGATAACAATTATTCCCAGTTGTGCTATGTGCTTTCTTCAGATCCAGAAGCAGCGGATACCTGGCAGTACATATGGCTGCCTAGGTCTTGCAGAGGGTAAACTGAGGCAGAGACAGGGCAGCGACTGGCTGCCCAGAGCCACGAAGAACATTGGTGTGAGCGGTGGGATCATAACTCCAGTCTTCTGGCCACTAGATAATGGCTGCCCCCGTGGTACCCCAGCACGGCGTGTTCATCCTAACTCGCTGCACGCTGAGCGCCCCAACCCTGCACCCCCCTGCACCCCGTACCTTTCATCCCGCGCCCCTTGGTCACCCCGATGACATCGACCATCTCGTTCTGGCTGAAGACCGTGTGCACAGAGACCTGCTTCTCCAGCCTCTCACGTGCCCAGTCCACCTTGTCGGCCACCGTCCCGCCGTTCAGCTGGATCTCCATCACGTGGGCCTTTTTCTGCTGCAGCGGCAGCAGCTTCATCTGTGGGGGACATAGAGGAGTGAGACCCAGCCCGGCAGGGGAGAGCATGGGGGGCAGCCAAAGGGCGGACAGATGGAGCCTGCTCCCCATCTTGCCCCCGAGCTCTGCCCTGATCCCTGATAAGTGTTTGGGAACTAAACCATCTTGGACTGAGAAGGGCAGACGGTGTGTCTGTCTGCTACCTGCCTGGGTACGTGCAAATCATCTGTTCTCTGCTCTCTTGCTGGCAGGAAACCCCAACCAGGGGCTTTACTGGCCAGGCAGTGGGTTTCTATACCCAGGTAGACGCCCAGGAGCAGGGACAGACACAGGGATACCCAGCTCCCTTCTCTAGCTTGTTTGCCTCTAGTAAACCATTACCCCAGGACAGATGCAGGCAGGAGTGTATCCCGGTATAACCCCCAGGTTCAGCCTTTCAGGCGCAGCTCCTCGCCGCCTGGGAGAAGATGGCCCAGCTTAAAGATCTGCAACATCTTTCCACTGCTTTGGTTTTTCACACTGGCTAAAAACCAGTGTCACCAGCACAGATGCTGGGCGTCCCTCCCTGGCTGTGGCCCCTTGGGGTACCAGGGTCCCTGGGCGGCTGGGCTGGGGCAGGGAGAAGTGCCCTCGGCTCCTTGAAGACGTCTCTCCTCTTCCTCCCCGCCTTCCAGCCGGCGGCACTAACAGGCCCGCGTGAGAGCTGCCTCCAGCTCCCCTGGGCCTGGGGGAAAGTCAGCCCTTGCCAGAGCGAAGCAGAAACCCTGAGAAAACCCCGGAGAATAGAAATCTCGACTGGGAAAGCAACCCAGCTGCTTGCTGCCGAGATGAGACGCACCCAGGCATTGGCACGCTGCGGGCACGCACATGGAGCTGGCGCGTGTGCACATGCACGCGCTCCCTCTGCACACGCATTGCCACGGGACCACACGTGGCGTGGGGGGGAGCAGCAGGAGTGGTCAGGGGCTCCCCAAGCACCTCCGCTCCGGGAAGCGGGCACCTGCCTCGGGCTGTCCTGCTCCCTCTCTCCTTCCCCGGGGCTATTTTTAGCTGGTGACCACAAGGCCCCTCCGCCCTGCTCCAGTGCCCTCAGCCTCTCCCTGCAGCCCAGCACTGCCACGTGGTCTGGGGTTAGGATCTGAGCGACCCCCAAGGGAAACCTCCGAGCCCCAAACCAGCCCAGGCACCCCTGGATGTTGAGAGAGACAAGAGCCTCCCGAGGACCCAAATCCCCCCCCAGCCCCAGAGCAGGCAGCAGCTCTGGCCCCTGGCAAGCCCTTCCCTGCTCCTGGGTTATTTTTACCCCGTCATCTGACGCCAGTTGCTAATTCGAGGGGAGTTCATCACCGGGTCCATGGCCCCGGAGATACCAGAGCTGTGCTGCTGCACTTGGAGCAGCGTCTGCCCCCCTCCCCGGAGCCGCTGTCTGCTCCAGACACACGAGGGGCAAAGAAGAGAGGAAACCCCAGCCCTGATCCCACTGCAGCCTTTGGGGCATTGGTGCCAGTGCCCTGGGAGGTGATGCCTATGGCTGCACCTGCAAAGGTGATGCACTACCAACAGCCCCACCATGCCCCCGCCATGGCCAGAGGCACCCCGTGCTCCCCTGCTCCTGCCCCGCTCGGCTGCGGGGATTGCCCAGGTCTCACCTGCGTGTGTACGATGACCCGAATGACCTTGCAGTACTTCTTTATGGCAGCGAAGTCCTTCTCCAGCTGCTTCTTCCCATCCTCACTCTGCCACTTCTTGCAGTACTTGGTGAAGGCCTTCTTCTTGCTCTTGTGCCTGAGGACGGGAGCATTGCAATGACGCTTGGTTGCTGTAACGAGGCGCAGGCTCCTGCAACCGCAGGTGCACGGGAAGCCTGCTTGCATGGATGATCCGCCCAACATTCAGACCCCCAGATAACGGAGCAAAAGGAGCACACGCCAGGGACTGCAGGGTGGAGAGGAGAGTCCCGGGCTGCTGGAACAGCTGGCAATTTGGGGAGCTTTTAGTAGGAAGAAGCCACATCTGTGCCTCTGACTCGCTCAATGTGGTCAAAATGCCGCAGGAAAAGCAGAGCTGAAGGGGACAGCGGATGGGCCGGCTCTGACAACATTTTCAGGGGCAGATATAAAAGATGTGATTCCTCTCCATGAAGACTCAAGCCATCCTCTTCCCCACCACCACCCGAGGACTTGTGCGATGGCCTTTACAGCAGTGTGCCGAGGCCATTTGGGGCTTGCATCTGTGCACTTGTGCATCTGCCCAGTTACCCAGGATAACAGACTGCAGGACCCGGCTGCACCCCCCCAGTGACTAATTAACCAGTGCAACATGGGATTTTTGAGATGAAACCTTAAGGTTATACAATTTGCACATGCATTGGCTGGTCCCCGCCAGCTGCCCCAGTGCCAAGCTGCTGGAGGTGCAAGCCCCAAGCCTGTCCATCACGGGGAGCTTTCGGGGGTCTCTGTGGGCAGGTCGAGCACGCCAGCCAGACGACAGCCCGCGAACCCGTGGCGTTCTCACCAGTTCTTGTAGAAGCGCCGCCGGCACTCGTCGCTGATGTGCTCGGAGAAAATGGTCTTGAAGTTCCTGAGCCCACGGGGCGTGTGGATGTAGCCCACCAGCCCCACCACGACCAGCGGGGGGGTCTCCACGATCGTCACCGCTTCCACCTCCTCCCTCTTGGACACCTCTGGGACAGAAGCAGAGGCAATTGCAATTGCAGAGCATCGGTGGCTGGGAATTGGTTATAAGCCGAATGCTGGTGTCTGCAGGGCTCTGTATCATTGGGAGGAGACGCGTACTCGCCCTTTCCTCCTGGGAGTGCAGGCAAACGTGCCGTGGGCTACAGCCCCAATGCCAGAAGCCCTGAGACCATGCTCAGCCTGGGCAACAGCATCTATTTCCCCCTAATACCCCTCAAGTTCAGCATCTGCCACAGGGCAGCATCCCCTCCCCGCGGCCCATGTGCTCCTTCGGTTCTCTGCCAACGCTTAGCCCCGGCGTGCTAGGACGTGCGCCAAGCGCCCCCAGCTCACGTGATACTAGTCACCTCCACGGCTTTGTGCCCTGACAAATGCAGCCCCGCTGCAAAGGGGCTCCTTGCAAACCCCACGGGCCGTCCAGCCCATTGCAAGGCCGTCCCTTCTGTTCTGGATTTGACCTCAAGGATTCAGCCAAAGACCCTTACTCAGCCCCGGCCTGTGCACTTCTCGCAAGGTGTGCGTCATGCCCGCTTTGTAGCCCAGGAAGGCCGTCAGGTGGACCGGCTTGCTGGGGTCATCCTTAGGCCAGGTCTTCACCTTCCCGCGGTGGCGACGGCTTCTCTTGTGCGGGAGGAAGCCCAGGTGGCCGTGCCGGGGCGCCGAGAACTTGCGATGGGACTGGAAGGAGGAAGAAAACCAAACAGGATCCAGATTTACAGCCCACCCCGCTTGATGAAGGACCTGAAGCAAGACTCACTGAAGTCAGCGGGGAGCTTTCCAGGGACTTCAGCGGGCGTTGGAGCGGACCCGGGCTTCCCCGGAGGGTTCCCAGCCGGCGGCTTGTTCCAAGAAGATCCATCAGCGAGACGACACATGGCCGTGATGTGAACAACCGTGTGTCTCGCTAGCCTTTCCATGCATTTTTAGGCATCCATTCACCCATTGCATAGGCAGACAGACCGATCCAGAGATCAAACTAAGTCTTCCCAGGCTGAGACAGGAACTTCTCTCTTCCTTTCCAGTGAGTAGGAAGAGCCCCCCACGCCCCCAAAAGCAAGGGGTTTATTTCAGGTTTCTAAATGCAGTCCCCATGCCCGGCCTGGAAGAATTCCTGCCTCTGAAAAGCGCGGACTGGGTTGAACTAAATAAACCTCCCCGGCCACTGTCTCCCTCGCTTCGGAGAAAGGGCCGTAAACCAGCCGCAGCCTTTGCAAGATCTGTCCCGCCGAGGCCAAGTCTCATCGCTCCTTCGCATCACGGCCGCGGCGTCGCGCTCGGTCCTGCGCTCACCCCCACCGGCAACGACGGAGCAAGCGGCAGAGGAGGCGTGAAGGGAACAGGAATCGGGAGGTGCACGCGGAGAGGGGACGCACGCGATGCTGAACGCGTGACACCGAGCTGGGCCCGGCAGCACAAAGCAACGAGCCCGCGGGAAGAATCAGATCGGCTTTCCCTGCTGCCGGCCGAAAATCGGCGGAGGTAAAGGAGCAAGCCCAGGTGCCGAGGAGTTAATTTTACCGCCTTGATAACTCTTGGCTAAGCCTGTTCATTCAACTCTTCCAGGCCACGTCTCCCTTTCCCCTCGCTTATTTTTCAATCCGAAGTGGCTCCGACTGTCTCTTTCCATCCTGTTTCCACCCCGCTAGTTCAATCCGCCGAGGGAGGATCCCCAACCCGCTCCCCGCCCCGCCAAAAGAGCAAACGCAGAGTTTACCGACCATGAGGTGTCTTCAGCGCAGGGCAGCGGCAGAAAGAGGCTGTCACCCAGCGCCTCGACAGTCTAATACCCAAGATGTCTATCAGCCCGAAGACACAAATTTAGCTGCTGGCTTCATTCAATGTGATATTCATTTCACACTCAGGCAAGCTGGCAGGCTCAGACACTCACAACAGTTGTGACGTGCTAAAGGTCACTGGCTGGTGTCTCAATTTACCCCTGGAAACACTCGGACATGAATGGGGCTGATCGCCGGTGCTGCCTCGGGTGTAGCTCTCCTCTCACCGACGCAGCCCGCTCGCTTCCAGCGAACGTCCTCCGTGAACCCGGGGCTCCCCCGTCCCTGCCGGAGGCTCTGGGATAAAATTGGATGCTCGAGGGGGAACTTTAGGATTGATTTGGGGGCAAGAGAAGCATTGCCCTGCTCTGCGCAGCACACCCCAACCCTAACTCCTGTCCTCAGAGGTGGTGAGAACTGCCCCCGGAGGGCATGCAGAAAACCCCCAAAACCCAGAGAAAAGTGTTGGACAGAGGTATCTTTTATAAAAGGTCTATAAAAGATATCACTTCGGCCCCAAAAGTTTTGTCCCTTCGACCAACATGGCTACAACCAAGAGTCCAAAAACCACCCCCCAACCCGTGTGCGTGTATCACTGGGCCCTTTGCTCCTGGCTGAGCCCCTGTAAAGCTCATTGCAAGATTGAGGTCTGCAGTTTGAAGCAAGAGTTTTTCTCTGCATTGGGGCTTCAGTAAACTGTTTCCCTGGGCTCCGTTCATCCCGGCAGACGACGGCTTTCACTTCTCCTGAGATTAGTTCATGCGCGGTTTAATCGGCGAGGAGGCTTGCGCCCTTTCAAGCAGAAAGCTGCCATTGGGGTTCCCTGCTGCCGTCTGCATGCACGTGATCCCCCCATCAGACACCACAGGCCCATTGCACGGCATCCCTGACTCATCACTTGGGGCTAATAATGTCCATCCGGGACGCAGGGCGCTAACGACCCATTGCAGCTCCTTGGCGTCGGGTCAGCCTGCGTTTTGCAAAGCTCCCACGCTGCCGGGGACGTCCCTGGATCTCTTCCCACCACCCTCCCACCCATCCTTAAAACAGTGGTGAGTAGGAGCACCGCCCCTCCCCTCCTGTCGCTGTAGGATGCGCGGGGGCACCGTGATTCTCAACCGCGGTCCATGACCCCCTGCCCTGGGGTGCCGCGGGATCCTTTTCAGGGTGCCCCAGAAGTGCAACAGGAATGCAGGGCTCGTGGAGCGGCTTTGCCTTGCAAGAACAGCCCAGCGCCAGGGTTTCCTGATGCTAGCGGGGTTGAGTTGAGACCCACTGGCCCAGGGGTGGTGTGCAGAGGTTGCACGGGGAGCTCAAGGTCCCGGCACCCTGCTTGTTATTCAGCCCTGGCAGCAAAGCTGTGCAACAGTCCCCAGGGCCACAGGGGCTGGGGGTGCCCCAGAGCCCCCCGCCTTGCTCTTTGCCCCTTGCCCAGCTGCAGCCCCTGCTCTGCTCTGCAGCCCCCTGCTGGCCGGCTCAGGCAAGCACCGCCCACAACTACATCTCCCGGGATGCCCCGCGCCCGCGCATGCGCCGCCTCCCTCTTCCCGAGCGGCGCCGCGCTCCCCTCTCCGCGCATGCGCCTTCCCTTCCCCTTTAACCTCTGCCGCCGGCCTGACCCCGCGGCGCCGCCATCTTGTCCGGGCTGAAGCGAAGCGGCCGCGATGCCGGAGGACTGGGACCGCGAGGTCTACAAGGAGCCGCCGACGCGCACCCCGGTCGCCAAGCAGCAGCCCTACAACCCAATCGGCGTCTTCGAGAAGTTCTTCTACTACAGCGTCGACAGGCCCGTCACCTACTTCCGAGGTAGCGGCGGGGGGAGGGGCAGCGCCGTGTTCGCTACGGATCCCCGCGGGGGAGGGGGCGGGGCTTAAGGATCCCCGCGGGGCGGGGGTGGAGCCTACGCTTGGAAATCTAAATATGCCCCTCCCCCACCTGTCTCCCCCTGCCCCCCCATCCCACGCGGTCCATGTGCTGCGCCGTGCGGCGCAGAGTGGATGAGCCGTCAGCACGCCAAGCACAAGTTCTACTACTACCACCGGCAGTACCGCCGCGTGCCGTACATCTCCGAGTGCTGGGAGAACGACATGCTGTGCATCTTCGAGGCGGAGATGCAGTTCGTCAGGGACAGGTACGTGGAGGCGGCGGCGGCGTCACGCTGCGCCGCCGGCGGTCGCCCGGGAGGATGAAGCGCCGTCGAGGAGACCCGGCGCCGTCGGGATCGTCGCTCTGTGCCGTGTCCTGGTGCAGCGGGCTCCGTCTTGTCTTGCAGGAAAGTCGATCAGGAAATTGTGAGGATAATCCAGGACAGGTTTAAAGCCTGCCAGTACAGGGAAGGGGAGGCTTACCTTCAAACCTGTGCCAAGGAGTTGCAGCAATTTATTGATGTCGCCAAAGCCTTTGAGCTCAGATGTAAGTACGAGTAAAGCAGACCAGTGTTTTTGGGTTTTTTTGACTTGTTGAGGTTTGGCTGGGATGGAAGGAGGATGCTGTTAAGACATGCCAGGCTGGAGCCCTCCCGTGGAGGGTTGTCAAAAGTCTTTCGGGAAAGACCTGGGGTTGTATTATACCGCCTCCATTTTTCCTCTGGCTACAACCTAAGCTGGTGGGGGGCGCACCAGAGGTTTCAGCACCGTCCCGGTTCTCTTCTAGATGCTGATCTGGACATGTATCGTGGTGCTAGACAGTGCTTAATGAAGCAGAAACACAGAATGATCGAAGAAAGGAAGCAGGCGCAGGCACAGGCAGAAGCGAACAACCGCTGAACGGTTCCTGCAGACGTAAGACGCCAGAACGTGGTATTGCGTTATATGCATCGTTGCACCGTGGTGTGGTCTGTAAGCTGTATAGTCTTTAACTCATCCAATAAAACAGGCAGAGATCTCTGCCAAACTGATCCAGACACTGTGACCTTGTTGTGTTGTGATGTCTGAAGCGCAAAGCAGAGCAAATACCCTTGGGCTCCTCTTCTTTGCAGCACTTTGAGGAGCTGTAGTAGCACCGCTGCTTGGAGCTTCTAGAAGACTGCTCTTGCAGCACTGCCTGCCCACGGGTTTGGTCTGACTAGTGTAAAAGTGTCACAGCAGCAGCATCCTTCAACCCCTTTCACGGTCAAACACTGCCTGATCACCTTATGGAAAGAGCTAACTGCATACTTCAAAACAATGAGGATGTATTCAGACAGCTGCTGCTTACAGAGGGATATTGAAAAAGCTAGTCTCAAAATGTTAAGACCCTGCTGTTCATCAGTTTTAGGAGTAGAAAATGTTAGTGCCCTTTAGTGGTTTCCCCAGCACCAGCACAATGCCTGGCCCTTGCAGGCTGACAGGAACTTGGATCAGCTGGTAGAAGTATTTTGGGGTACTTAGTCCCACTTGCACCTCCCTTCCAAGGAAAGCCACTTGTGCTTTTGAGTTTTTCCCCATTCCCCAGCAGATGAAGTTATTTTGAACATGTGTTTGCCTACAAGTTGCAAGTGCTGCTTTTCAATCACTTTTTAAGCTCTTACAAGCTCTCACAGGGAGCCAAGGGGTCTCTATACATCAAGTGTAGTCAAGTATTCACCATCCTTGCTATATACTCCCAAGGCAGCCTAGAATTGCACTGCTATGAAAGGTTTTAACCTTTTAATAATGAAGCCTGTTTATTGCACTCATTTTGGCCATTTTATTTCAATGTGTATAATGGAGCAGTTCCCAAACCAAGATTACCCACCGCCAATTTAAAATGATACAGCCTTAAGTACCACCAGCAAATTTTTGTTGTAACAAATGTATTACAATTAATTTTATAACATGTACTACTGACAGGTGTCTGTGTACCACTGGTGGTACTTGTACCAGATTGGGAACTGCTGCTATAATGTCAAAGCATTACTAGGGTTATTGTTCAGGAAGGACAGTGCTTTAATAGGCAGCAGCAGCTGGCTGTATTCTCTCTCATCAATCTCCTGGTTTGCACCCTTTTCCAGACACAAACCCCCAGGGTCCTTTTTCAGCAGTACTGCAGCCTAGCTCATCATTCCCCTGTCTGTAGTTGTGCAGGCAATGGCATCTGTACAATGTCCCCAGAATGGGCTCAGAGCACAACACACATTAACATCAAGGTCTGGTTCACTTTTCACTTTATTTTCTTGTACAAAAACATGTTAAGTTGTTGCCACAGCAGCTGCCTGGGTTCTCTGCACTGAGACCCTGGTGTGGGTCTTGGCAAGATGATCAGTGAACTCCTGCAATGAACAAAAAATGGTTCTTAATTCAAACACAGATGACTTCATGACATGTTAATTCCCAACTGGTAATATTTAACCGGTGAGATCAACAAGTGACTCTTTTTCCTATTGGCACTAGACAATCAGGCGACAGCTATGGCTATGCAAGCTTCATTTCACTCTTCTCTCACAAGGCAGTTGCCAGCCTGCTCCAGAGCACTGAATGGTGCTGGCGACAGATCCTGAACTGGCAGCATTTGCAGCCACAGGGGTTTAACAACTAATACTTACTTTCTCAGTGGAAAGGCAAGACTCACATGGCCCCTGCACTAGGTTTGAAGTCACTATTGCTAGCAAAGTCCTTCTACAGAACTTCACGTGACAGGCTCCAAGTTGTGCACACAAAATGCAGCGATTCCATGTTCTTACCTGATAAGGAGACTTGGTGAACACCGTCTCCTTCCAGAGGTCAGGGGTTAGATAACTGTAAGTCTTGGAGATGGCATCAAAGGTGGCCTTAGCTATTCAGGGAAGAAAAAAAACAAACCAGACATCAGGTACTATGCATGACAAAGCAGCCGCCTGAAGGCCTCAGAGCAAGGAAAACAACCCACTGCGTGACACAGTCAAACCAAACCACAGAAACAAGTGTCGAGTTCGAAAAGGAGCAGGGAGACCATATCGCGAGGTCCCACTGCCGTGCATATTAAACTCATTTCCTTTCTCTCTCCAATAACGACAGTTGCACCATTTCAGACAGACACAACTGAGCAGAGCTGAGAGAGCTTTAAACTGAATAAAAAGGGAAGAAAAAGGGCATCTTACTGGGCAGCATCTGGAATATTTGGTTCAAGAGATTTAAGTATTTCTCCCAAGGACCAATTTATGTTCTGCAGTCTGGCAGCACGCACAGTCCGATTTCCCATTTGTCCAGGAAGGTGTTTTTCAAATTAATTAGCAAAACTATTAGTGCCTAAATGGATGGTTTAGTCGCACACTGAGACTAACTGTATCAGAGGGGTAACAAAATGACCAGAAGTCCAGCTGACTAGTGCAGAGCCGATAGCCTCAAACTTACCGAAGTTGCCCAACGTGGCAGTACAGCCCCTGGCTGAGGTGTAGCAGTCATCAATCCCAGCCATCATCAGCAGCTTCTTGGGAACTGGGGCTGATACAATCCCTGTCCCACGGGGTGCTGGGATCAGACGCACCAACACAGACCCACAACGGCCTGTCACCTAGTCCAAGAGAAGAGGGGGTTAAGAACAACGCAACATGTGTGTTCACACTTGAAAGCGCAGCACAGGACTACAGGATGAAGCCGACCAAGCCTTACCTTGCAGGGTACGGTATGGGGCTTGCCGATCTTGTTACCCCAATAGCCTCGTCGCACTGGTACGATGGATAGCTTAGCCAGGATGATTGCTCCGCGAATAGCAGTGGCAACTTCCTTGGAGCACTTGACACCGAGGCCAACATGCCCATTGTAGTCACCAATAGCAACAAAAGCCTAAAATGAAGAAAACCAAACCTTTAGCAGGGCTAAGGCACTCTGCTTACACACACAGCCTCCCTTTCACCACATCGGAAAGGATCCTGCCAGTGCAAGGAAACACAACTGCACCACACAGCCCAGAAATGAAAAGTCTGCCTCTAAAGCTCCATCCTGACAGGGATATTCCAGCTCTGTTCTCTGTACCGCCCCACGTACAGCAAAGCCAGCGTCACACCCCACTACAACCAGGTAGAAGCAAAAGCAACTCCAGCTAAAGCTTGTGCTAAAGGAGAGCTGGGCCCTGAAGATCCAGCTATTCTTGTTCCTGGTCCAAGGGCAGCCCTGGATGAATGGGAAAATGGGTCGCCCAGGGCCCTCCCGAAGCCACAACCACTGAACACTTCTGTAGGCATTATAGTTATTCCCCACTAGATTCACACCTGTGCGCGCTGTGAAGGCTGTATTTGCACCTTTATGGAAGGAACGGATTCTTTACCATCCCAACACGACACCCCAGGAACATCAGCGTCACAACATATGTTAACAGCAACAATTAAACAGATGCAGGTACTGCTCTGGAAACATCACCTTGAACCTGGTACGCTGACCAGCCCGGGTCTGTTTCTGGACAGGCATGATCTTCAGAACCTCGTCCTTCAGGGAAGATCCCAGGAAGAAGTCGATGATTTCTGACTCCTGCAGAAATCAAAGTAAATTAGTCCGTCACAGCAGAACATAAGAAGTGCCAGGCTGGGTCAGCCCAGCATCCTGTGGAGATCTCAAGAATGATCTATCCCTGAATCCACATTTCAATAGTCACTACCCCACACTGCATCCAGCATTACTGGTTTAGAGATGCCAGAGGAAACCTTTCCAGCCATTCTGTTCAACAGCAAACGACACACCCATCACCCACCAATTCATCCAGCCCCTTCCAGAGCCCAGCTATGCTGTCTGCCTCCACCACCTCCTGTGGCAATGAATTAACTACATGCCACATGAAGACGTATTCTCTCGTTAGCTTTATAAACTTGTCACCTTTTAGTTTCTGTGGTTGACCCCTGTTCTAGTATTTGGGACCTGGGAACAATTCCCTGCTCGTCTGGTCTAACCCCGTCGTGATTTTATAATCTTTATCATCACAAACCTTTACCAGATCCCCCTCAACCATCTCCTTTCAACTAGGGAGCCCCTGGCTTTTTATGATCTTCCCTGGCATGGCAACTTCTCCATGACCCTGCTCCTTCTGGTACACAGGGCTACAACCAGACAGATTTAGGATACAGGATATTAGTCTAATGGTCTAAAGATGAACCTCTTCTAATAAAACCAGCCAGCCACTAAGGTATTGGATACCTGCATAATCTTTTGCAATAAATACTGTTTTTAAATACTCAAACAGTATCATGCATCTGGGGCTGGACTTGATCTTCCAAGGTCCCTCCCAGCCCTAATGTCTAGGAAATCTATGAAAGACATAATGCAATCCACGTTTACATGAGCACACTTCACCTGGCTCCCTTAAACAACATCTGCTGCATTAAGTCACCCCACTGGTTTACTTTATGCTACCTCAAACAGCACATTAAAGATTTCCACTACCTCAAAGGAAGGTGAAACAGCACATTTGGGGTCCCTGCGTAAGGGTCTGTTACCTATTAACAACCAACCTTGAAAGCCGACTCCTTGATGAACATTTTGTAATACAACACCCGTTCATTTTGCAGACCAGCATGTGGCACAGGAGCTCAAATGCTCAGCATCGACCCATTCACACCCCCTTACCTTGATTGGAAGGGAGAAGAGATAAATCTCTTCAAGAGACTTGATTTTCATATCCTTGACCAGGCGGCCGAGCTTGGTGACAGGAATCCACTGTAAAAAGGACATCCGACGGTCACAGACAATAAGGGGTGGGAGGGAGCTCAGGAGGGCACATCTAGCGCAACCCCCCGCTCCAAGCAGGACCGGCCCCAACTACATCATCCCGGCCAAGGCTGTGTCTAGCCGCGTCTTCAAAACCTGCGAGCATGGAGATGCCGCCACCTCTCTGGGTCACCTGCTCTAGTGTCTCACCACCCTCCTAGTGAGAGTTTTTCCTAACATCCAACCTCAACTTCCCTTGCTGCAGCTTGAGCCCATTGCTCCTTGTCCTGTCATCTGCCCCCACTGAGACCAGCCCAGCTCCATCCTCTTTGCAGCCCCCCTGCAGGGAGGTGACGGCTGCTATTCAATCCCCCTCGGTCTTCTCTTCTGCGGAAGTGCCAGCCGTCAAAAGCCGGCTCCCGCTTCATTCGCCCTCACCCCAGGGACCTGGAAACGACGTGCTTCACCCTTTCCTGCCCCGGTTTGTAGGAGCCCCCCCTCCCCCAGCAAAGGGACACGCCCCCCCCGGCCGGACACTTACTTCCTTCTCCTCCGCTTTGCCCCGGGCCCCGCGGCCCTGGCCCCGTCCTCTGCCGCGGCCCCGCCCGCGTCCCCGGAGGCCG